TGCGGATTTCTATGATAATGTCATTTCTAGGCCTCAGATTTATGTACGTATTCTTGGGCATAACCTAAGCAATGAAATGTGTTTAGCTGAAGGGAGGGGGTAGCAATTAAGAACAACAATATAAACATAATCTACCTCTGACGAAAGCGTGGGCCATTATCATTATCCCAATGAAGCCGAAGATTATCTAAATAATATTTGATAATGCAGTCCGCACCTCAAAGAAAACACGTCACCATCACAACGATCAATTGGTAAATGCGATTCAATTATGCAATGGCTATTGACAATGATAATCATACAAAACGACGTTATTGAGTGTTGAGTCACGTGGTACACTTCCTCACTTAAGCAGAGTTTGTAGTTTAGATGGAGGTTATTCTATGCAGAAACGACGACAAGGGAAGTTGAAGGGTCAAGAAATTGATGCTCTGCAAGTTACACCGTAATAAGTGTACAAAGAGCGTCTTAATTGCAAATAACCAGCATTACACTTTATGGTCATTGTTATTGAGTGGCCCTGGGAAAGCAAATTTACCTCGGAGACGTGTCACAGATCTAATTATTGACCTGCAATTAGAAACCAATATTCCACAGAGGTTCTTGAATCTGTGCTTCAGAACGGCCACAAGTCCGAAGTAAAAGGCGTACGCACAGTTTGGCCCTCTAAAGCCTAGTGGTAATGAATGTCCTCCCATCTACTACAGGGTCTCCCAAATTATTTATTTCTATCAGGTTTTATACTTAACACCTGAAGTAAATAGACGGCTTGACAGATCTAGGTGTAGGTGGGAGGATAATATTAAAATTTAGATCGAAAGTAGGGTGTGATATGTGGACTGGACTTACCTGGTTCAAGATAGGATCTAGTTGGGAGATCTTGTAAATATTGTAATGAAACTTCGGTTTCTACAAAAGGCGGGAAATTTTATGGTCGTCTTTGTGTTTCATAAAAGATGAGAAATTTCTTCACCAGCTGAAGGACTGTAAACTTCTCAAGTAGGTCTCTGATACGTGGGGTTGGCCCTTTTTTTTAGTGTCGTATAAACTATGACTAGTTTACGAGAAAAGTTAACTGGATAACACGAATTTTCCGTACCACATTACCATCCCTGATTCGTGCATACCTTACAAGTATACACTGATATAATTATAATAATAATAATAATAACTAATAATTATGGGAGCAACTGGAACTGTCTCCAAGTCACTCAGAAAATATTTGGCCAACATCCCGGACGAACAAAACTACAGGGAACTACAGAAAACTGCAATTTTAGGATCTTCATACATCATTCGAAAGACGCTGTCCCTCACAATAAAACTATATAATACATGTAACACATATTAAAAACAAAATGTATTTCGGAAATAGCTGCTACACTATGTACCTCAGGGGCAAGGTTTGTCTCGGGTACATAGAAGTAAATACCTTATAAATTGGTGAATAGATGGAATAATAATAATAATAGGCATACATTATACCTTCTTACCATGCTTGATTAAACAGTTAACCTTTTTTGTTTAAATCTTGTCAGTCTAATCACAATAAAATTCCTATTAATATTAAAATATTACCATGATTAACATTTAAATATTTAAAAATATATTAAATGATATTCTCTATCGAAATGTTCGATTTACATTAGAATATCACTTTTTACTCGACATGTTTCAGTTCTAAATGAACCATCTTCAGGTTTAGAAATTTTATTGTAATTAAACAAATATATATTTATCACAATATGACGCAACTTTATCATCTCACAGTTAATCTTATAAGTTTTTAGTATCGTGACAGTACTTTGCTCAGCAATGCATAACAGTTTAAACCATTTTAGTGATATATAATATGATATTTTTAATTCTGTTTACTCGCCTCCTGGTGTGTTTTGCGGGTGCAAGAATGATGTCTGGAAAACGTGATCTGAGTTTCGTTCAAACGGACCCCTGCAGACAGAAGGCCATACTGCCAGCAAGACAGCATTATATTCATTGGATTTTTTGTCCAAAACGGGGAATTATTTACCTTTTTAGGCTATAATTTTATCGAATTATCTTACATTTTATTCAGTTCATAAGGAGGAATGAAGGTTTCACTGTAAAATATCTAACTTAGAGGATGTAACGCGGTACATAGAAGACAGGCGCTACAGAAGAGAATGTCAGAGGATATATTAATTTACTGAGAGACTATTACACTCCTAAATTGTACCCCTTTCTGAGAAAGATCCTTAGGTTTCTTTTACATTTGAACTGAAGTTGGTGGGCTAACGTTGAATGGAGTTCTCTGTCGGCACATAGAGGAAGCTTTATTAAGTTAGTCATATGATTCATTTTGTAGCGAAGCAGAAGGCGCCCATTATATTCACTACGCGTATCACTGGGTCTGTGCAAATGTGGTACCTATTAAAAATAGATTCTATCATTAATTAAACGAGCTTCGGCTTTGAAGAATTGAGTGGATATTTGTAAATCAGAGTAGAATTAGGACGAAAACGAATTTGAACTTTATTTTTATGCTGTTTAATAACGATTTTTGCAATTAGACGATAATGTTAGGATTGAAAATACAATTCAGGTGCTACGGATTTATTGCACTTCCTGGTATTTACATACGTGACAAAATCCATATTTTTTGTGTGGCAGATTAAAGTGTGTTTGGTGATGGATAATGTTCGAAGGAAATCTGCTGAAGCAAAGTTAAAATAAGTTTTAAAATTTTCCGACGAAATGTTAGCGTTTTTTTTGCTTTTTTTTTTTGCTGTTGTTGAAAATTAAAACGTAACCTGTTAACACACGCAGTTCATTCTGTAATCCTTGATGACGGAGCTGAACCACGTAATAGCGCCGTGCAGTTGCTGTCATTTGTTTTTCATAGTTCCGCTGGTCGCCGGCAAGCCGGGCATCAAGTGAAACATCAAATGACTGTCTAAATGCGGGGAAACGGCGAACACTTCATGACATATGCAACACAAGTCAGTCCGTCCATTTACTGTAGTCCCCAGGTGACAGTATAACAGAAAACGTGGCTCTCCGCGACGTTTAACAGGACAGTTTGAAAATAACCAACTGAATAATTATTCATTTTGCCCATGAACGTGTGTTTGTGGGTTTATTACGAATCTCGGTGTAAACATCGATTATTTTCTTAAACAGCGTTAACCGGTTGATCTTTGTAATGGTGAAGTGTCGTGTTTTCTTTGTGGTACGGACCTAATTCTTATATACTATTTTTTTTAGATGTGACTAGTTGGTCTTTCTGATGGTGAAGTATAGTGTTTTCTTTGCGGTAGGGACTGGGTAGCATGTTAAATTTGTTTTGGCAATTGTGACGTATGTTTCTCACACGGGAATGAAATTAAGAAGTGCAGATATAGATTGACTTCTATTGGCGTGAAGTTATACCAAGTTTCAGTGAAATCAGTCTACTTTTTTCAAATTTACTGGAGGGTCACGCGTGGACGGATCCTTGTAAGTTACGGAAAACTGGTTTGCAATACACGTGGGTGTAAAAGCTGTTGGATGATTCAGAACTTTCCTTGATCAGTCAATTTGTGTATGGGGACCAGAAATCAGAGAAGTCGTTTTTGTGTTTCTGAAGGCTTATGTGGAAAGGGAGGTGCCAACACACATGACGTGACGGGTCGTATCAATAATTTTGCATTGATTAGAACGAGGGAAGCTCCGATGTTCTATGGTGTTCTGTATAATGACATGGGTATTACTGCCAACTACAAAAACGCAAAAACATTTATCAGCCGTTGTTCTTGTATGTTCCACCCACTTCTCTTTTAGTACATTGATCAGAATGTGTTGTCCATCATCGGATCGTCCTGCAACAGCGTTTTAACTCTACAGTTCTCAGGCGCGTCTCGGCATGGATTCAAACAGCGTGTTTATGCCAAGGTAATAAGGAATTGTAGCGGTTAATTTTATTTCAAGTACCGTCCGCTTTGTTTTATCGGTCCGAAAATTGGGATCATGGGTTCGAATCCCCGATCGCCTTTAACCTGTTTCATCAATCCAATCTCCTGTCTAGTGGCACCGGATTCTAAAGTCTACCAGAGTGGGAAGCTGCCCAACCCCATCGCCCTCTACTTGGATCACGGGGGGGGGGGGGGGGGGGGGGGGGGGGGGGTAAGAATTTATCTCATTGTCTTCCATGTGTGGCATTATTTTTATATTAATTTTTCCCCCTCGAAAAATCATTAATAAATGTCACTCGCGGTTTTAATTCAGCTAACATTCGATATCGCTTCTTTCTGAAAATAAAATTGCCACAGTTCTTATGACTCTACCATTTATTACGAAGCATGAAAGCAGGACTTGCTACCGAACTTCGTGAAATCGAATTTTTTTTTCTTCCAAACTTAATTTTACCGCACTATATTTCGTCTTACTTCTGGGTATCCACCCGAGGTAATGCTCTTCAAAAATTGTATCATCAGTTTACATTGTCAACTATTGTCTCTTTATTTTATGATGAGGATGAAATAATTTTCCTTCTCTCCTACGAGCCCATTCCGTGATATAAAGAACCCCCTCCCCCCCCTCCGCTCGTCTAGAGCTGTAACTTGATTTTGTGTTTGGCGGAGAGTTGACAGCGCGTTCATCTCCTTCTTTCTGCAGAAGCCATCACATTTTCACCGCCGCCCTCTTCCTACTCCACCTACATTTCTCCAAAAGGGTTGAAGGCTTCTTTTTGTAATCATCATCCTCGGGGAACATAAAGAAAAAGAGGACTTTCCGGGAGTTTCTCTTTCTGATCGCTGTAACTTCGTTCCAGTTTTCCTCCATTTTCACTCACCCCCTCTTTTTTTTCGTTGGGGTGGTCCTTGATGTATCGTCAAGAGTACTTTGAAGGGTGAGGAAGTGGGGTGAGGACGGAAGTCGACCAACTTCATCACTTTCTTCCAAGTTTCTTCTTTCGTAACATATTTCTGTCCTAATTTTTTTGTTGTAATTTGTGAAACAAATAAGGCCCCCTAAAATATCTGTTAACTTTAAGATCATTTATAAGACCTTTACTTATTAAAAGCGTGCGCATAACTTACATTACCGCCTCTTAGCCCAAGGCTGTCCAAAGTACGGCCCGAAGCCTGCAGTAATTCTAACGTATCAATTACATTCTGTGATTTTTAAATTTTCGCTATCGTAACCTACATATTTTTAATTTTAGAACAAGACTGGAAAGATATAATTCGTATAGGAATACATAGAGTTTACTGTGGATCATGCCCTAGTTTCACTTCCAAATCATAGGCCCATATTCGTTTTGCGTAGCCTATAATATTTTGTAACCTAAGGGAAATATATTTTATAATTATATTTGAAAATTCGTGTTCATTACTGAATTTAATCTGTTATACACTTTCAAAGTTAATTTAAATTATATTAAAGTGCATAGTCGTTATGAATGTAGTAAGCTGTGCTGTATAAATTATGATGAATATATAAATTTAACAAACGCACTTCTTCATTCTGTCAACTCGCAGATGAAAAGCAACTTCTCATTGCAGTGGGTGTTTCCGAGAAGTGAGTTTGATCCCAGAATGCCGCAATGGCCCATGAAATCGGGTTCGTCAGGAAACCACTTATTGTAACCTGCGGTTTCAAGCGTCTCGTCTAAAACAAACAGATTTTATGACACATTTAAGCCAGGAACTACGAGGAGTCATAATTTACGAAGGTTCTAGAACCTAGTATTATTATTTGGTATCTAACTCCATGGAGAAGAAAGGATTTTTTGAGAAGCTGATACTTTCTAAGTTATTAAGATATCCCGCGCCTTTTATAGTCTCCAAAGTTTTATTATCTTTTTCACCGTCGTTATAACCTCAAGTCTCCTACGTTTTTTTACAGCAATGACAGAAGTCAACTGCACGCCCCTTTCATGAGCTAGAGGAATCCGGTCAACACATCCTACGCCTTTAACACCAGAAGATTGCTGTCTTCTGGGTAGTTGTGCCGTGTAGTCTGCTAGAAGTTTATCTAAATTTCAGACATCCTTGTTGCCTCCATCATCAGGGCGATCGCGTCGGTAAACTTCTACCAGACTACACGACACAACCATCTTCAGAGTCACCGCCGTGAAAACCTCAAATCCTACCTTTAACGCCAGTTTTAAAATTATCTTTTCGCCTGCTGATATTTTTTTCCAAGCTATTTCTTTGTTCAGGTTTTCTGACGAAGTTTTAAATTTATCCCAGGTGTGCCACGTTGTTCGTCGTATTGTTAGTTTATAAAAAGTCGTAATAAAACTGTATTTTATCAGTGACTGAAATAAGCTGTCTGCAACAAGCCTCTCCGATTGTCTACCGCAGCCTCTCGCGTTTCATTTGAACAAAACATAACCCAGTTTTCGAAAAGCTGTGTTTTATTCATAGGGTCAGTACAATTGATGTAAAAAATAAATAAAAAAATGACTGAAATTACTATAAACTCCAAACACTGCTCGGAACGTGGTGCCATGTTGGTCGAGGAAGTTTGCCACCGATTGGCTGAATCCATAGAATGCATGACTCTTTTCCGAAAAGCGCCCAATTCGAATCTCGTCTGAGGTATCGGCTGTTTCTGACAGGTATTTGTGCTTTACATCAATCGTTCCAAGGAACTGACGGTTAATGTAATAAAATAAGCTACACCGACTGAGTTGCGATCTTTTCCGTTCATCGTACACTTTATCGGAATATTGCAGTCGACTGCTTTACCGCAATATAGCACCAAACACTTCCTTCCCCATGAAATACTTACTGAAAATAGTGACGAAGTCCCCTGTCTCATGTGGGTCCCAAGTCCCAATGTATGCGGCATCTTTCCTCCAGTCTTTAAATAAGTTTCGTATCCAAATTACTGACAGTGACTTAGCTTCGGTCAACGAGTTGATGACGGCGAGGTAAGCTCCCTCCTTTTCACAGACAACCCGAGCTTTTTCCCAGGTCCTGATGTCTGTGTGAAATTTGTAATATCCCAGTCCAGGTACAAGTTCGTAATCTGCAGGTGCCTTCCCGTGGCATGTTGACGGTCCTGCGTCTTCGTCCTTTGGAGGAACTGGGGAAAAGTACAAGGCGTTGAACTTTCAATAGTGGGTTTATGAATGCGACTATTGCATTATAATTTTGTTTTAAATACGTAATTCCTCAACTCGAGGGAGACGAAAAAAAACTTTGTGAAGCTAATGCATGAGTTTAAGAATTTCTTACCTGTGACGGTAGCCACTATGAACACGGAGTCGCTGTTTTTGCATTTTGCGTGGGATTGGTCGATATCCACTTGCCAAGGACCAGCTTCGTCTCCTTTCTGATCAGCACCATGTTCCATCTGTACCTGTGATGTTTAATAAGTGTAAATCGCTTGCTTGTGGGAAGAAAATTCTGATTTATAACTTCGACTTTTGGAGCTCAGGCGTTTCGTGTCTTGAAGCTGTTTACCCTGAAGATGGCAATGGGAATGTTCGACGAGGTGTTGGAATATCGTCAACACGCTGCGCTGCTAAACCCCGAATGTCGAAGTAACGCAATGAGTTAAGGGCTACAGGATCGTAAGGACAATAATATTTTACAGAAGTTTGAAAATGCTTTGCGGAATTAGTAATTTGTGCCGCCTGACCTGTGCTATCCAGTGTCCTGTCTTGTTTCGTCGACTCGTGACTGAAAATTTAAGGGCTGGTGAGTTCTTTTCTGGACACCCAAAGTCAGAGGAGGCTCCCGCACACCACAGCACGGAGAAAATAGCAGCACACCGACACACCTGCATGATGACACCTGTAAAGAAAAGTCACCCTTACCCCACGGGGCTGAGATCTTCTTCAAAGCTGGTAGTCGCTCAGCTAGTTAAAAAAATATAATGCCTTTTACGAACCGTAAAAGTTCAGTTCCAGCTCAGAATCTGCTCTGGAACTGACGGAAACCACGGATAATCGTGAATGATTTGGCCGGTCTCAGAGCCTTCCGAATGCGTACTGACTTCTAGCCACAAGTCCGTTCGGATGCATTCCCGCGAAATGCCTGTGTGACAATTCAGCGCCACAGGCCACAACCTGATGTCAGAAACGTGTTAACACGTTTTAAAATCTTCCCCTTATTGTATTTATCGAACGGAAGAAAGGAATGGGAAGCGATAATTAACCTGTTGCTTCCGGCATTCTTAAGTCTGCAGTGTGTTATGTACTGTCTCTGTGCCAAATTGGAGGATTTCAGAAAGTCGCGAAGTAGCACATAACTCGTTATTTAAAGAGCTTCAGCATTTAAACATATTACTGCAATGTTCAAGACATCTCAGGACGTTCCATTTTCAGGAGACTGTTTTCATTAAATTCTACAGCACGATGGTGGATTTTGGAGAAGTGAAAGCAGGCTGAAAAATTTGGATAATGAGCAACTTAAAGATTTCTACTTTTCGTAAAATTATTTGTTATTAAAGCGATAACATCGAGGAGACGGGGATAAGATTTGACACGTATTGGACATATGAAAAATGCTTATACTCTTGATGGTGAGAGACTACCATTTTGAATACCTAGAGAGCATAGATAATAGGGTAATATTAAAATACGTCCCAGAGTGGGGTGTAATGATCTGCTCTTTTGAACACGATAATCAACTTTCGGGTTCCATAGAAAGAGGATTATTTCTTGAGTAGCTGAGGTGCTATCAGCTGCTCAAGAATAACGTAGCCGCCACATAACTGCTAGCCCCAAGATAACGGAGTCCAGGCGAATGAAGACAGTTCAGAACTCGCAGCGTAGCAAAGCTACAGTCATCGTACTGGTGACTTCAACCGCTGGGTAAGGCGGCTGAAGACTTTCGTAGCCTTGAATCATGCAATTTGGTGACGGCTGCTATAAGTAATTTTATATTATTATTTAGTGTTCTGTCTGACGACAGGTCCATATGAACAGGATCCTTCCATCCTTTTTTCGGACTGGGACCTGTTCATATACGTTCTTGGTAGATGATCCAGAAGTGGTTTGCCATTGCCTTCTTCTGTGTGTGAATGGATGCCACGGAGAAACCGGGGAAGCCGCCGGAGGAAAACTCCGTGTTGCCTAGACCACGGCCTTGCCCAACACAAGTTATAAATTCGGGCACCGCCGGGAATCGAACCCGAGGCCCCCAGGATTACAAGGCCAGCGTTCTAACCGGTAGACCACCGTGGCTCTGCTATAAGTACCAAACGTTAATGGATGAATATACTCACCACTGACGAAATTGTGCTTCTGTCTTCTGTGGGTGAAATTTATTTTTCCTTTGGAAGACTTGTTACTTTACAGAGATTTTTCCGACGTTTATATATACGCACCTGTAGAAGGATGTAGACGTGTTATCTGCTTAAATCCTATTATTTTGGATTAAGGCTTAATAATGCGGTGTTTAATAACGTGTCATTATTCAGCACACATGTGACAGCGTGACGTCACTTTCGTTAATATGAAGCGTAAAAAATGGGACCAATAAATTAGAGCACATACAGTTCCATGCAAACAAAACTGAGTTTCGTTTTTGCATCTATTTGACTGGGGGTTTAATGGCTGCAGTATTGCAAAACGCCATCGAACTAGGGGTTAATGGGGAAAAAAAGACAATTTCGTCGTAAACAGAAATGTTAATGTGGTGATCAAAAATACAAATTTACCAGATTCGTGTTTCCAAAAGTATGAAGAATTGTGTGTACGGGCCGCAAACCAGAAATTCCGTGTGTGATCTGTCGTGAGTAAGCGACTACGAGACGCGTGTCCTTCCTTCCATGTCCTTGTATAGCGTTTCATCCTGACATTGTTACTTAAATGGAAAGTTTTTAAAATATGGTAATATATATAAGAGCCTTCGTGTTCATTAAAAGACGGGGTACTTATTGACTATCTGAGCGACTATTAGATCCCCAAGTAGGGCTCTGTTCCATGGAGTCGCTTACCTTAAGAAACAGTACTAAAGATCAAGTACGAGGTGCGATCGGAAAGTTTCAAGACTGCGCGTATAAAAACCCGTACACTTATCTCAGATATTAAATTCATCCATCACCCTCGAAGTAGTTCCCCTGGGAGTGAACACAACGATTCCAGCGCCGCTGCCAAGCCTGGAAGCATCCCTGGAAATCTTTCTTTGTCAGCCTGTCAAGCACCATCTGCGATTCTGCCTGAATCTCTTCTATCGTCTCAAATCTCCTTCCCTTTAGCTGAATTGTCATCTTTGGGAAGAGGAAGAAGTCACACGGAGCTAA